AGAGTACAGGAGTCACAGGAAAGTCAGAAGAGTGCTCTGTCCAGGACAGCCTCCTCTGGTGTCAACATCCCTGTCTTCCTGCCTGTGTTTGACAGTTGTCACAATGTCAACAAGTCTTACATGTGTACAACATAGACTCACCACATACGTATATATACACAGAGGCGTACGTATACATATGTGGACATGTGTATGGAACTGTTTATTACAAATGCATTTCACAAACATTCACTCAGTGAGGTAACTGACAGACATTTGAACTCTACAAAGTTCAACACTACTGCAGGCAGTCGGAATACAGCGGTGAACAAAACAGATAGAACCTCTGCCCTTGGAGAGTGTCCACCAATTTTAAGAATTCTGGGGTATTCTGTCAGATGCTGATACCACGGTTTGCTTAACCATTGTCCTGTTTTGGGACTTTCCAGTTGTTTCTCATGATTATAGAAGGTCCCCGACCTATGATGGTTCTGGCTTACGATTTTTTGACTTTATGATGGTGAGAAAGAGATACCCATTCAGTAGAAACTGAATCTTTGAATCTTGCATTTTGATGTTTTCCTGGGCTAGCAATATGCAGTGGGACCCTCCCATGTGACTCTGGGTAGCGGCCGCAGCCCCCAGACGGCCACATGATCACAAGGGTGAACAGCCGATAGGCTGACAACCACTCTGTATCCATATGGCCGTTCTGTTTTCATACTTTGAGTATAATAGTCAATCGATTGCATGTGATATTCAACACTTTATTATATAAAATGGGCTTTGTGTTAAGTGATTTTGCCCAACTATAGCTAATGTAAGTGTTCTGAGCACGTTTGAGGTCAGTGAGGCTAAACTGTGATGTTTGGTGTTAGATGTGTGTTAGATGCATTTTTGACTCGTGATAGGCGTAACTCCGTTGTAAATCCAGGAGGATCTGTATTAAAAAACGCTACACTAAATGTCCTTGTACATTTTTGTCCTTGTGTGTGAGCATGTATCTGTAGGACAGATTTTTTTATTTAAGGCTTTTCCAAAAAGTTATTCCCCTAGTTAAAAGCTTTGAAATGAGTTTCATTTTGAATTATGTATTTTGATTAATGCCATTTTGCCAAATCCAGAAAATAATTTTAATAAAAGGTTAGGGGGAACCTCCTCTGGGGTTCTTTTTCTATTTCCCTGCCTTTTGCCTTATGCCAAAATTTTTTTTAATGATTTCCTTGCCAGTAACTGCTTTTGGCATAGCCAGAAGCTGAACATCATGGGGTTGGTGGGGAGGGTGGGGGGAGACGGAAAGGAGCATTTGGCTCCAAATTGCATAATTTGGCAAGTTTTCCTACTACGGTAGTCATGTTTTTGCAAGATTCAGTGAACTTTCTGAAGGCTGACTCTCCAGAAAAACCATGACAGCATGGCTGCCTCTCTCCCTCTTGACTCATCCCTCTCTCCCTTGTCGTTCAGGGCTCTGTGGAGGCTGTTGAGTTTCTTGGGCTGTTCTCTTGCCCAGTGGAATAGGCCTTACTTCTTCTTTATTCCATTTTGCATTTGAACTCTTTCCCCTTCTAGTAGTTACCTCAGACACGATAACAGAAGGCCAGTGAGGGTTTTACTGTGTATGTGTGTAGGTAGAGACCATGAAGATGTGCTTCCAAGGATGACTGATGAAATGGCATTCCCTCTTTGTCTGATGCCATAATAGTAATCGACAATGGCAAATACCCTTTTTTTTCTGAGTATAGGTGACACACAATGTTACATTAGTTCCAAGTGTACACATAGTGATTTGACAAGTGTATACATTGTGCTGTGCTCATCACAAGTGTAGCTCCCATCTGTCACCATATGTCACTTTTATAATGTCAATGACTATATTCCTTAACGGTAGCGAATATTCTTGATTACTTACTCGGTGCTAGGCACTGTGCTAAGCCCTCATCTTATTTGTTTCATTCCCTTAATAACGCTACAAGGTAGGAACCATCCTCCCCATTTTCCATGTGGGAGAATAAGAAATGAGAAAGTAACTGCTCAAAGCGCACCCAACTAAAAGTTGGAAGATCTGGAATTTGAAGCCAGGTCTTTTGGATTCTGGAGTCCCGCAGTCCTGACCTCCATGCATCCTGCCTCATTTCCTGTCTAGGCTGTGTCTGAGGGTATCTCGTGTTGAAGGAGCTTTTCTCTACTCGTCCTCTGGCACGCATCAAAGCCACAGCCGTAGGCCAGCGCTGAGCTGCTGAGAAACACGATAAAGGCGTTTATGATGCTGCTGCAGATGACTATGACCTCATCTTCCAAGACAGACCTACTATGTGGGAGAGAGGAGGCAGAGTTGGACTCAGAGACCTGAGTTACAGTGTTAGCTCTATCACTTATCAAGCACTGTGACTTTTCTTGGTTTCTTAACTTGGAAAATAGTGACCATCACTCCCTTCTAAGTTGCAGTGAGGACGAGACAGTATGTGTACAAGCACCCACTAAAGGATACTTTTATTGTTATTTGTTATTATCGCCCCAAGTGAGGCAAAGACAATCCAAGTCTCCATGAGAAGAAAGAACATAAGTCTGAGTTCCTGACTGAGGAGAGGCAAAAGTTTCCGGGAACTGCAACATGGATGAACCTTGAAAACATTACACTAAGTGAAAGAAGGCAATCACAAAGATCACATACTGGATGATAACATTCATATGGAGTATCTGGAACAGGCAAATCTATACAGACAGAAAGTGGTTCATTGGTTGCCCAGGGCTGGGAGGCCTAGGGGGCCTGGAGTGTGACCACTAATGGGTATGGAGTTTCTTTTTGCGGTGATACGCATATTCCAGTGTTGATTCTGGTGATGGTTTTGTAACTCTGTGAACATACTAAAAACCATCGAATTGCATACTTCAAGTGGGTGAATTGTAAAGTATTGGCATTACATCTCAATAAAGATTATCTGTTAAAAATAAGTTTCTGATGTCTGCTTTCTTAAAAGAAATTGAGAAATACTCAGTCTATCATGTTTATATTGAATGCATTTCTCAAAAACAGCACTGTCTCTTTCTTAGCCAGGGCATTTAGACAAAAGTATCAAAATATCAGTACAGAGTAAAACACAAAAAAAGCTAAAGGCAAAACAAAGTCAGGAAGAGAAGCTAGACGGAAAAAAGTAGAAAGCTGGAAAGGAGACTGCCTATAAGTCTACACTGAACCTGACTCATGCTCCACGGGGCAGGCATTTTGAGCTGTTTGTTATACAATGATGGATCTGCAGTGATTCACCCACACACTCTTGTGGGGAATCCATGTGACAAAATGGCCTCCATGAAAAAGCAACTTGACCTTGCCCCACAGGCCACCCAGATGTGCATGTGGCAAGATGCCAAGGTAAGATGAGGACAGTTTGGTGCTTGTAGAATCAAACCATGGTGTCTGAATCTCAATTAACTGACCTATCCATCCAGGTCCAGCTGTAGGTGTTTGGTCCACGGCAGGTGTGATACCTGCCAAAATATGAGAAGATGCAGAAGTAGAGAAGTAACTTGGCCATAAATGTCTTGTCTCTTGTCTCTGAAAAAAAATACCTATAAAAGTGCCTGGCTCATGTTAAGACCTTAATGGATGTTTGCGGAAAGGATTGTTGTTGGAATGAACCCAGCCATAAAAGATGTTGTCTCCCTCCCTGACTCTTAGGTAGTGAATTCAGGGGAAAAAAAAGAGATGAACCACTTTTTGACATAATAATTTTTATTTTTGGTTGTACCTTCCAGTTTTTAGAGCACCCCTACCTACGTCAATAGCTCATTTGATTTTGAACAGCACTATAGAGGTATAGAATGCTAGATGGCATTTAGAGATGCCTGTCCTGTTCAAGGTCATATGGCCAGGGTCAAGACCCAAGTTCAGTGTCTTCCCAGGTCATGTGAGTTGAAATTACCTGGCCTAGTTAGTCAATTTAATTTTTCAATGTTTCAAGGGATTATATCGAAGCTACCCAGCATCACAGAGTGTGCTGTTGGTAAAAACATCACATATGGCAACGATGGGGGTTGACCAACCAAGTACCACTTCTTGAGGCCAAAATGAAGGAGTGAGCTATGACTAAGAGCACAGAACCCAGTGCCTGTGGGGGAAGGGGCTTAACAAGGTGGTTAAGAGCGTAGGTCCAGAACCACATTCTGGTTGCGGTCCAGTTTTGTCATCTGTTAAATTGGGGCAGTGTCCCCATGATGTAAGATTGTTGCCAGGGTTGAGCGTGCTACTGTGTGCTGAGTATGTAGCAGAGTGCTTAGCACATAGTTAGCGCTCATTAAAAGCTATGTTTTAGACGCTCATTTCTTTTTTCTATTTTTTTCTGCCATCCTCTCATTGCCATCCTCTTCACTGTCATTTGCTGAGGAAAGTACAGGGCTGTCTCATAACAACTGAGAATTTGGATGTCTTGTGAGGAGGCACAGACGTACGGATGGGATTCAGGGTATGGCTGTGGTCTGCCCTCTCCACAGGCTGGACAAGGTTGGAACTCAGAGGTCCACACAGGGCAGCAAGCATAGGCAGGGATGTGGAAGGTGGGGGTCCGGTGGGGAAGGCTGTGGCAATAGGCACCTGTCGGGTTTCAACGCTGCAGTCGAAGCAGCCAGGCACAGGACTTGCATCGAGAGGCCGAGGCATCGGTTCAGAATCGGACGGGTGAGTGGGCCGTCCAACCTCCCACCACATACTGCGGGTGCCCCGGCTCAGGGCCTTTACCCCCAACCCCTGGGCAGACTCGGGCTAGCAGACAGGTGCTTTCCCTCCAGGCAACGCGCTGGCCTTCAGAAGCTGGAGCTTGCAGCAGAGGTTCTAAAGGGAATCCCATTAGCTCTCAAATGCCCAACTTTATTCTTTTTTTTCCATATATGAAATTTATTTGGTTTCCATACAACACCCAGTGCTCATCCGTGCCCTCCTCAATACCCATCACCCACCCTCCCCTCCCTCCCACCCCCCATCAACCCTCAGTTTGTCCTGAGTTTTTAAGAGTCTCTTATGCTTTGGCTCTCTCCCACTCCAACTTTATTCTTGATGTTCCTAAGACATGAGGGGCAAATGCAAACTAGTAAGAGGGGCAAGTTAAAAATCACGTGATGTCTCAACCACTGCAGGATTCCCCAACCCATTAATCAACTCTGTCAATCGCCAGAGACTCATTTGACCCCATGAACCAATCACCGCAGGTGCACACGACCTTCTCTGCACGGCCCAACATCCAGTCTCCCGTCTTCTAAATCTTTTGGTGTGTACCTGTGCAACAAGGTAAAGGACATCGTCTGCAGTTTGTCCAGTTTAAACCAGTACCTGCGGGAAGTGAGTGTTGATTTCAAATCTGGGCCTTGCAGGAAATGTTAATGATGTGCTACGGGGAGAGTGGGAAATACCACTGGCTAGATGAAGAGTGCAGAAAATGCCGCTCAGGGGAACGGGCTACTGTATCAGGATTTAAGAGACTTGAATTCCAGACTTTGCTCTACTGCTGACTATCCTATAACCTGGGTTGGCCCCGGTGTTGTTGACTGTTAGATATGGTTAACCCTTGAGCTCTGTCTTTGACTGTCACAATGATCTGATGAGATAATATGGGGAGAAGAATTTTGGAAACTAAAAACTGCTTAATTCTTTCATTCAGAAGTATTTGATAGCAGCATATTTGATACTAACTCAATGTAGCAGGTCCGGAGGGGGCAAACAGACCCGGGGTCTCTGTTGCTTACAGGATGAGGTTAAGCCTCAACTGCTATGAGAGAAGGAAGCAGAGTGGGGAGGACGGGGTGGAGGAGCAGGGCCCGGAGCCTGGGAGGGAAACTGACAAGGCAGTTCCCTCAGGTTCCGCGGGCAAAGATTATGCCCATGGAACCAGACTTCAGAGATCAGGAACCACAGCCGGGAACCTGGAAAACAGAGGCGCCGAGGTTCAGAAAGGGGGCTGCCGAAGCCCTGGTCAGGAACCCCAGCAGGCCCGGGGTGCAGGCAGCCCAAGGGAAGAACAGGCCTTTTCAGCGTCACCCCCTCTTACCAGACCAGCTGACCGAAGAGACACAGAAGCGAGCTCTAAGTAAGTGCAAAACAAAGCAGTGGGGCTCCCACTTGAGTGTCATCGGGATCACCTGGGGCGCTTCTGAAGCCACAGCTCTCTGGGCCCCACTCTCAAGTTTCTGATTCAGTAAGTTCGGGGTGGGGCCCTCGCCCAGGGCATTTGCATGTCTAACAAGTTCCCAGGTGCAGCTCGTCTGCTGGTCTGAGGGGGACACTTAGCCAACCGAGCACCCTGGGGCGGTCGCTCTGAATTCCTGGCCCGTGAAAGAAATGGTAGGCAGAGGAAGCATGTCCGAGTGTCCCGGCATCCCCCTCACCCGAAGCAGGTGCTCTGACTTGGTGCTGCCACAGGCTCAGACCGCCCACCCCCACCCAGTGGTGATACCGGGCTAGGAGCCCTGGTGTGGGCGGTGCTGGGACTGCCTTCTTCTCTTTGTAATCATGGACAGGGGCCGGCCCGGGGCGTCTGGGGCCCTCTCTGCTTTACCTCCACGACTTGAGGATGCTCGGGACAGGTTAGAACTACCATCTATGGACACAGACGGTTTAGGGGCATTTTTCTCTCTTGGAATATTTGCGAGTAGGAAAACACCTTCTGTATCACGCTGAATCGCTTCCCTCGTCTTTGTCTGCCTTTCTTCAAGGTTTGCAAGTGGTTGTGATTAGCCGGTTACGTTTTTCTCCTGTTCTGTGAGGCTTCTGCACTGGTTGTGCACCGTAAACTGGACGAAGTCGGGTGGCCGCTTGAGTCTCCATCCCTTGCACGGTCTTGGCAATACGACTGGTAATGCAGGGGCGGTCTTCTTCCCCCTCCCCTCCCTTCTACTCCCCGTCCATTGAGACATACAGGTGCTCTTTGCCCTCCATTCACAATTTTCTCAGTGCTCCGGTGGTGGGGAGAGAAAGACTAAGTAGAGTATAAGAAGCAAATTGTTACTCGAGCATAGAGGATGGAGTGTGTTGGCCATGGCTGGGTCAGGGAAGATTCTCTCAACTGGCGTTTCCTAACTCCGGCCGTGTGATAGAATCACTGGGAGTTTTTTGTAACTAATACTGATCTGGGATGGGACCCTTGGCACTGGAAAATTTGAATCTCCTCAGGGCATTGTAATGTGTAGTCAAGCCTGAGATTTGCTGTTATAAACCAATGTTTCTTAACAACACCTGGGTGCTAAGCACAGCTGCATTTTGGTGTGACTTCCTTTTCATAACCACAAGCCATGCTAAGGAGGGTTGGAGGCTGCCACCTATGGGGTAGAAGTCCACTCCACAACCCTAAGTTTAGACAGGTAACAATAGGAAGTAGGTTACCTCAGGACCAGGTGGGCAAGATTTAAAAAAATGCAATTTCTGAGGGCAGCAAACAATCCCCAGCTGAGGATGACAGAGGCCGGAACCAATTCAGGAGTATGAGCCAAGGATTTCGGTGCCGAGAGAGCAAACTACCAGGGTCAGATCATCCCAGGCCCCTGGAGCCAGCACAGGGATAAAGCTTCATTCCAGAACCAACTGCGGCTCAAGGCAGGAACTCCATGTCCTGGGCCAGCACTGGGTGAGTGGGACTGTGTTCACCCGGGGTTTTCCCACCCGGGACATGAGAAAGAGGAAGGTAGCAGGGTCTCGAAAAGTAAAACGTGGAGAGGAAATTGCCTGGCTTCCATAATGCTCAGCAACCAGTTGCATTGTTTTTGTTTTTGTCTGCACCAGACTGACCTGATGTTTCTGACGTTGTACAGATCCCCGGGATAATGAGAATCCAGACAAAATAGTCTCTCGGAGCAGCGCTCTTTAAATAGTGCAAATGAATTCCCAGGGGATCTTGTGAACGTGGCGATCCTAATTCATTTGGTGTGCGGGGCGGGGGGAATGGGAGAGTGGGAACTGGAGGGGCCCGAGAGTCTGCATTCCTCACGGTCCACCATGCGATGCTCATCTGAGGGCCACTTTTCAGTAGCAAGGACTTAGAGACAAGGGGATGTCTGCCTTAAATGCACTGGAGGACAACACCCCGCGGAGACCCGCGGAGTCACTATTGATGAGGAGGTTGACATCTGCTTTCCATCTTTTCTCAGATTAAGGGAGTCTATGGTTTTTGCCGAAGGGTCCCATTCCTTGAGAAAAATGGCTTTCTGAAGACCTGAGTGCAAGGACAGCATAAACAATGTCTGTCTCACATCACACGCTGTCCTCCTCCTCACCCTGTCCCATAGGAAAGACTGATGTTCCACAGAGTGAACCAGGCTTGAGCTGAACTAGTGAAGCAAGAACCACAAATAAGTAACCTGTTACCTGGGAACAGAGCAGCAATTCTTTCATAAATGAATGTCAATGAGGTATAATTTTCTGCTGTAGCAGAATTTCTACACCTGACAGTATTCTTAATATACTTTAATTAAGAGGTTAATCTGTTGTAGAAATTGCTTTTCTCTGAAGCCACCTGAAATCAATTTAAACTCAATTACAAGTGGTTAGCTATTGTTTATGTGGTTAAAGATTAGAGAATACATTTTTGCTTGTCAGGAGCCATCCGAGCAAATTTTGAATGTCATGATCAGAGGAGAGTCTGAATAGTTGAGTGCTCTTTAATGGGCATAGAGAAACCATTAGAAAATATAATCAGTCATATTTGATGACTGGACCTTGGGACTCAGCTAGAAGAGGGTCTAATCATTTCTGTCCCTTAAGTGCCACGAGGATTGCTCTGCTGAAATTAATTGATCATTACGTGCTTTCTGAGAGCCTAATATACCCTATTTGATGGAATATAAATTGCAAAAATAATCTGTAAATTATATAACAAGCTTCAGAATACATTTGCCCTCTGTCTCTTTTGCACAGATTAAATCTGACAGCTAGTTTCAAAATGATCAAAATTGCTTAACTCCTCCAATAGTTTGGAATGCTTGAGTTTTACAAAGAAAAAAAAAAATCTATTGCCTGCCGTGTGCCCAGTATATAAATTTGAATTACAATCCATTTTCCATCAGCAAAACGTAGAGATAAAAAGAGGTCTGAAAAGGTTTTTGGGGGGCTTGAATGCATTATTTTATTCAATTGCTTAGTAAGGTACTTAGCTGCTATTAAAAATTTGGATGCATGTCAGAGAGAAAGTAGCTGTTTTGAATCCTATCCACTTCCACACTAAGTATATGAAAGACTTACATGCCTCTAATAGGGCAGCCAGCTTGCTAATGTGATATCCCATAGTCTGGTTGAACGACACACAATGACAGCACCCTCCACTGATTATCGGCGGGTTAAAGGTTTCTTGTCAGCCTTTCAGGTGTCAAAATGATGAATCCAATTACCTCCTCTGTTTGTGTGGATTCTTCTGGGATCAAGACATTCTGCCATGATAGCGTACACATTCCATGACATTTTGGTTAAAGTTGCAGCAAAGTCTTTTCTCTAGAACTCTTCCCCTCCAGAGAATTATTTTCAAATTTTTCCTTTGGGTTGACACTTCTCGTATTTGAAATAAACCTTCCAGGATTTTCTTCCATAAATGTTGAATGGTTAACTATTGAGTAGAGGACCATCTGTTCCTGCCTAATTGGTGTAATGAGGGAAGACCACATTTTTGGAGCCTGGAAAGAAAAAAAAAAAAAAAAACCAAACGTGCGATGAAGCGGGTTTCAGAGTAGTGTTTAGCAGAAGAGGCTGGGGCAGCTCCCTAAATGCCAGGACAGTGGGATGTTTTCTGGGAACTGGGTCTTTGAAAGCTAGTTATCTCTTGGGAGTTGAGTGAGGGGTGGAGTCAGCTATGGGGACCACGTTTATATTACGTTAGGATTCTAGGTTGGACTCCAGAGGTTCAAATCCTGGCTCTGTCACTTGCTAATTGTGAGAGCCTTCGGGGAAGACTTCTTAGCTTCTTAAAGCCTCAGTTTCTCCCAACTGTCAAATGAGGCTAGTAATGAAGATTTAGTGTGGGAGTGTGTATAAAGTGCTCGGTGGAATGTCAGGCATGCTCACTTCCTAAGCTTTTCATCATAGTCAAAGCAGAGCATAAAATGACTTGGTGTCTCTCTTTTCTAAGCCCTAAATAGGGGTCCATGATTTGAGAAAGACTTTTTTTCCTTGGCTGGTGAAATTTTGGTATGAAGTCTTTCAGAGATTCCAAAACGAAGCTGCGTTTGATTTTTCATTTCACAACTACCTTGATGACAACTCCTCTTGGAGTGAGGGTGGAGGTAAGGGATCGGAAGGATAAGCTGTGCGTCGGGAAGGGGGGGGCGTCTCTGCGTGGTAGTCTCAGTTCCTCCATAAAGCAGCTGTGGGAGCTTGAGAGCAAGAAGTCCCTCCTCCTCTGTGCTCAGTTTGTGCAAAATGACAGGGTTGAACAGATAGATGACTGTTAAGGTGGCTTAGAGCACTGAGATTCCATGATTGTGTATTGCTCGCTGTCTCTGTGAGAACGTTCCCTGCTCCACACCCAGGCCACAGGCAAAAGGTGGGCACAGACGGGGCAGCATGGTAGTATGGTGACTGTGGCTTTCACCCTCATGCTGCTTGACCTCTCTGTTCATGACCCCCGTGGTCCCACTTGGGTGGCCCCATTCACTAAGGCACGGTTTTAACAGCCTTTAAAAATCATGTCTCCCCTTTGAGAGACCCAGAACAAAAATCCTGTACTTCCTGGGTTCGTTCCACCCTGGGAGACACTAAGAAGCCCCCGTCATATCCCCTGACACCCCTTCCCTGCTTTGTGATTTGAGGACTATCTTCTCTTCCCACCTCGTCCTGCGCTTCCCCAAGCATCCACCCTCAGCAGAGGCATTAAAAGGGCACCGTGAGGGCCAGATTCAGCCCACGGATGATGTCACTTGCCCTGCCCCCCACCCCAAAAAGGTTTTCCCCAATTGGTATTAATTCCCAGCATATAAAAATCAGAAGATTTCACATAAAACCCAGATTTCCAGCTTCTTTTGAAGAAAACAACAAAGAGGAAAATATGAGCAGAATGTCCCCCTAGGAAGATGACCTCATTCTTATACCAGAGGGTGAAGAGTCTGGTCAGGAAGTGAAAAGGCGACACCCTGATTCTGTACTCTGGAGAGTCTCAGGAGCAAGGTGAGAGATGTCCCCTCG